TTTGTTCTTGTTTGGCTTTTTCCAAATGATTTGTGCATTTTTGCAATTTAACACCACCTCATGTTGGTCTACCAAATAAAAGCCCAATCAAATATATTACATTGGTTTCAGTGTGACAAAAAGTGAAGTTCAAGGGCCATGGCCACTTTTGCAATGCTGTGAAGGCTTTTAAGTGTGAGTAAAAAAAGGTAGTCTCCACTATGCACACGCACTTGTTGATGTTTATGGAATAACACTAAAACTGGCTTTCGATCCATACATGCGTCAGCCTGGCAGCCATGTCACACTCACAGTGTGCTTGTGCACATACGATTGTTTCTATCCCAAACAAAGAGGAGGAGCTCAAGGTACTTATTCAGGTAAAAAAGAAAAGGCACTTTTAACCTGGCACGGTCTTGGAGTTTTCACAAACGCTCCTCTGCTCCTGGATCATCACCTCAGGTAAGGGGGTGGGGGGGAAGTAGAACGCTTGACAACATTCGAGGGATCTTGGTTATTGATTAGCACAGAAAGATTTCTTAATGTTTTTCTTATTGTTACTTGATCCCAATTATTTTTTTCTTATATACAGATAGGATGATGATTAACTGTTTCAATGAAACTAATCTGGCTTTTTTCTAGGTTTTTTTTTTATTTTCCTTAACTATATACCCAGGATATTAAAGAATTTTTGCATAGACTCAAGCACCCTTGTTTTCAGAGTGGCAGAAACCACTGATGCTTGAGGTCCCAGAACAAATGCCTTTATGTTGTGGAAGGCATTTTAACACATGGCTTCTGGAAGACAAAGGCCCTGTTGACCTTGAGTTGTTAAGTGCAACCTGATACTAACACTGAGAAGTCACCTGACGAAGGTCATAATGGAAGGGACAGAGATAGAGGCATGAGAGGCGTCTGCATTATCTGTGTTTCCACTTGATGTTCAGCTGGAGAGATGCTGATGCAACACGTCAGATGAGGAGGCTGGATAAGATGCAGATAGAAAATGTGTTATTTTGCAACCAATCTGGTTAAACATACCCCCCTAAAAAAATTATTTTATTAATTTCCTCTTCTGCCTTTTGTTCTTCTGGTCACAGAAACAAACAGGGCAATTTCAATTCTAAATTTTAGAACACTTATGGCAGTTAAATACAGAAAAATAAGGAATCAGCAACTTTGAACACATTAGACACACATTTAATTTGACCAAGGTCACAAAGGCAAGAGCTGGCTCTCATCAAAATGCATGAAACTGCACATTAATCTCCAAAATCAGTTTTAAACCTTTCTGGGATATGCATATAGATGCACAAAACACATATATTTCACTCCAGCATGTGTGCATCTGCTTTAGCTTTTTGTTATCATGGATAAAAAATGTAATCGCTGTGAAAAATACAATATACAATAAAAAATGATAGATAGCATTTTATTAAGCCATAGGAAGCCCAGAAAGGAGTTAGTAACTTGTATTTCACCATACATGTATTCCCTAATGTTTCAGCCCGCAAAGTTTACCATAGAAGAAAGAAAGAAGACAATAAAATAATGGGTTTTATTGTTCTATAACTGCTTAAATTGGTAACTTTAAAAAAAAAAAAATAATTCTAGTAGGTATGCCATTTATTATACCAACCAATATGAATTACATCTGCTTTGGGAAAACCTAAGTATTTGATAATCAGTCCTATTTTTCACTGTGATCAAACAGAGAGCATCAGAGGTGGAACCAAAGCAGATCAGTAAATCACATGACTTCTTTTGGCCGGTCGCTAAACAACTTTCTCCAGTCAAGTTTAAGCCGAAGGGCCGTTTTCTATAGACATGCTGGGTTTCGACCCATAACAAAAAATGATCTGCTGTTTACTCTACAAATACCCAGAATACCCTGCTGACGAGGCACTGACCTCTCTCACCACGAGGACATTCTTCCTGAGGAAAGGGCAAAGTACAGAGTGTCGCTGGTCTGTAGGACACTAAGAGACCAGGAAAGAAAAAGTGATGAGAAAAATGTCTCACGGTCCTGTAATCTCCATGTATGTTTATTTTTGTCTCCTTTTTAGCTGACTGTCTGTTGTGTTCAAGATGGGACATATCACTCTTGTCACTTTCCTGGCAGGTAATTAAAACAAAAAAGCACATTACATAGAACAAAAGACAATTTATAGAGTTATCTATTGCAGAATAATAACTGGTTCCAATATAAAATCATTTTAATAGAACATGTGGAAAATTAAACTTCGAAAAGAAGAAGTTTTACTCACTTAACTTTAAAATAATTATTTTTTTCTCTACTTTTTCTAGCACTGTTTTCCATTTTTATGGAAGCTGAAGCAAGTAAGACCAAACCTCTTCTTCTTTTTTCATTGAACTGTATCATTTTCATCTGGGAACAATTTTAAGTTTAATTCAGACTCAGTATCACCAGATGGGAGATTTGAGTCTAGAATCTATAGTGAAGTTACATCATTTAGCTTCTATGTGTTGTTTTCTTGATTCACTTTGGTTTTTTTAACCAGTTTGTTTTTATTTTTTTTCCGTCTTGCATCTCATTAAACACACCTTAGATAGTTTTACTTTGTTTTTATTACAACACCTGAGCTGCTTTGATGATTCAATTCAAAATCCTTCTCTATACTTTCAAAGCCATCCATAACCTTGCTCCTTCATATCTGTCAGACCTCCTTCACATTGCCACCTCCTCCCGCTCCCTTAGATCCTCCTCCTCCATCCACCTCACTGTACCCCCAGCTCGACTTGTCACCATGGGGAGCAGAGCCTTCAGCCGCTCTGCTCCCCAGCTCTGGAACTCACTTCCTCCCGACCTCCGCAGTATTGACTCTCTCCCCTTATTCAAAGCCAGACTCAAAACCCATCTGTTCCAGCTCGCTTATCTGTGAATACACTGCTCTTTTCCCTATCCATAATTGTTTTTTTGTTCTCTGTTTTTTTATGTTCCTGTATCTGTATTTTGTATTTTCATCTCTTTTTATTTATTTTTTGTATTATTTGTAAAGTGACCTTGAGTGTCTAGAAAGGCGCTGTTAAATAAAATGTATTATTATTATTATTATTATGAGCTCCTATAGCTCTGTGTAAAAAAACAGCTTATCCCAGGCTGTTCTCTTCATACAATCTGATATTTTGCTTGGTTTGGATGTGTTTTTTTAAAGCTTAAGGTGCACTCACACATATACTAAAAAGTTCGTTTTTGGTTGAATAAAAGCTTGTTTAATTTTTCGATTGGGTCCTCCCAAAGAAAAATAGATCCCAATCCTATTTTATTTTACTACCTCAAAAATAACATATTTTTATGTATCCCTTGCGATGCACTCGTGGTCCACTGGGGGAACACGTACCCCCGGTTGGGAATCACTGCTTTAAAAGGAATTATATTAAAGTTTTCACTGTTTTGAATCTGTAATATTTAAAAACCTGTAAATGAACCTTGGAGTCAGTAGCCAATCCATGGTTACATCTAATGTCAATACAACAAACTAATTACTGAGGTGCTGAAAGAAGCAATGTTTTCTAATGTGAAAGTTTCACAGTATTTTGCAATTCATTAAAGCTTTTGAGATGCAATTGGGAAATGGAATTTGTCAAAAATCTGCTGTTTGGATGACTGACTAAAAACTGTAACTAAATCATTTTTTTTTTCTTTTTTTTTTCTACGCATCCATGCTTTGGTGTCGGTTCTTCAGATCCATTCGTTTACAGTAAGTGGGACCACACAGCTTTCTATTGCATTGAATCAGACACAAACCACCAGAGGGTCAGAATGTAGAAAAGTCAAATGCATTGACAGCTTTTATTCAAAATGTGGGTGACTTTTTTTTATCTAAAAGCTGGATGTGTCTGCTCCTTTGTCTGACAGACTATGAAAGGCTAAGAATCGGAGGCCTCATCTTTGCCTGCTTGTTGATAGGTGGAGGAATCGGCCTTGTCGTCTGTAAGTTCTCCAGTCATCAACAAAGGACAAGTTTAGCCTTTCAGAATGACTGATTGATCAAAATCACACAAATATCTGCAAAAACATCTGTTGTTGTTTTTTGTTTTTTTTTTTGTCCTAGATAACCAATGTGCTAAGAGACCCAGGTAAGACATTTCTACTGATTAGGAGCTGGTCTGAATTAAAAGCTGCTCCCCTTCTCAGACTGCCATGTTAACTGCTGCCACTCCCTTCTCTCTCCTTACCCAGTCGGAAAAAGGGAAACGACAGTGATATCTGATCCCGATCCTGACAAACCTGTTTCAGTCACAAAGAGGAGCTGGGAGGTTGTGGTTGGAGAGAATGGGAGCATGGTGGGACAGTAGGAGGAAGCACATCTCAGAAGATTTGGCTTTACCTGTACAGACATAAAGCAATCAGCATCCCCATGTTATTTCTGATACGCCATTATAAAAAGCCTTAAAATGTCAAAGACTAAATTAGTTGATTCTCAATAGCTCCACCTCCAATTTTGTCATTTTTTCCCCTTATATGTCCTTATATTACTAGTAGCACTGCCAATACAGCATAGAGGGGTTAGGCAGTATCATAAGCCTCTCTACAGGTGCATAAACTGACATCAAATGTTGTAGAAGGCTTCTAGGGCCTTTATTAGAAAATGATCATAAGTTTGATAAAATGGTGTTCATTCAAATTGGTGATGTGTGATTAATTATATATATATATTGACTTATATGTGGTAACAGAATTCGTGAAAATAAATGTCGCCCAGCTATATGCATGTTGAAATTCTAATAAATGTCACTATTTTAAAACTTATTAAATGTGTACGTGAGAGTTTTTTTTAAGGCCTATTCAATCTATATGTAGTAATTTTCTTTATTTTGATCCCTCAAACCTATAACTGCCTAATTTGAACAGTTTCCTTTCCAATAGCACAGTAGGCTGACTCTGGATCAGCTCCCCCCCCCCCCCGTTCTTTGGCGCTTCCTGGGTTTAAAGTAAGCGGAAACCGAACCGGGATCAGCAACCATCCAGCAAAGCTTTAGCAGGGCTTTGAACACAGCCCCCTTCTTTGTGTTAAAAAGCGAGCCAACCTGTTGAGTGTGTGAGGGAAGTGTTGAAGGCTGGGTGTGGGCTCTGCTCAGTGAGGAGGACGCTGCTTCAGCCGCACATTCATATCAGTCCTTCTGCTTTCTGCTGCTCACTTTAACCATTTACAAGGTAAGGCTTCAACAAAACTCTGCTTTTTCATGACGTTCTCCATGTTTTGTGTTTCCTCTGACAAAAATATAGTTTTTTTGTTTGTTTGTTTTTATGGGTAAAGGGCGTGTTTAAGTTTTGTCTTTCTTTATAGGGCGGAATGAAAAAAGAAACTATTATTTAAACTTGATAAATAACCTTAAATTTTATAATAAGTGATCGGTCTGTTGTTTACACACTAGCTAAGGTACAGATAAACATCTATCGTCATGTTTCCAGCTCATCTGTATAAGCTGTTTAAACTAAAGAAATGGAGTGGAAAGCAGTTTTTATTCCCCCTGTCCTGCTTCTCTAGCGAGGGACGGACGGCAGCACGCGCGCACTAAACTAGGCGCGTGAGCAGTGGCGGTTCTTCTATGACCAGGGCCGCGGGCGACTCGCTCTTTCTGAGCCTGTGCCTGCTTTTTTTCCTCCTTTCTTTCTTTAACCAACGTTTTCACAAATATTGGGAAAAAAAAAAACAAGCAGTGTTTTAGAGATATTTTAATTTTTCTATTTACCTTTGAACATAAAAGGGATTACTGAAACTCTAAACACTTTAAAAAGTTTGAAAAACCATCTTTTTTATTGACATTTATGGAATCTATGAATCAGATATCAACTTGACAGCTGTAGCATATGGCTATAATTTATTTTAACACTTTCAAAGCAGACATGTAATTTAAGACCCCTTTAGAATCTAAGGACATGTTTTTGTACAAAAAACAAAAAACAAACAAACAAAAAATGAAATAGTCAACACAAATGGTATACCCAGTCAGATTTTGTTGGAGTTTCCTTTATTCACACTAATAACATTTGGTCAAACTCTCTTTGTCAAAACAGATAGGGCAATTTATTGTTCTCCAGATCCCTGAATAGTGTATTCCTAAAAGATATACTATTCAGGGATGATTTAGTTTTTGTAATCAGTGTACATATAAAAAATGAGAGAAAAAAATGGAATGAAATTTGAAACAAACATAAAAACTGATATATTTATATTACTATTTTTATATATATATTTTCAAATATTTTTCAAGGCAGCACTTTAAAAAAGAAGAAGATTAAATTGTCCAGAGAGCTGTTCCAAACGAAATTTCTTTCTGTTTTACAATTGTGTAAGCAAAATGAAAAAGTCTAAAAACTGACCATGGCCAACTTTTCCAGGAAGTGAAAAACTAGGGGAAAAAAACAGCATAAAAATTTGGATTGACATTTCCATTAGATATTTATAACATCCTTATAGACAATAACTAATATTTGCTGATATTTATTTCCATATGCTTTGACCTCACTGATAAAAGGACAACACTGCAGACATTGTTTTTCTACATTATAGTACAGTTTAGATATATTGTGTTGAATGATGTCTAACATCAGCCAAAATAGATGTTAATGCTGATATATTGTGTATTCCTATAACAAAGTATATCTGTGATTGCAATGCTGCACCCATTGAAATCCAATATACTAGCAATTGTTTTGAAATTCATTCAATTTTTATCATAAAGACATGATTTTTATCAATTCAATCAGACACATTTTAGTTCTAACCAGGGTTGAAACAATTTTTCAGGATTAATCGATTATTGAAATGACCATCAACTAATTTAGTAATTGATTAATCATTAAATAGAGTATAAAGATGGTACAAAATGTCTTAAGCTGACAGTGTAACCAATTTAGAGCAGTAATTATATCAAAATTGTAAAAAAAAAAAATGTAAAATTCACATTTTAGATTAAAAAAAATGTTGTTTGTCATTATGCTCTATCCAGAACGCCTCCAGTGGGAAAGTTTTAGTTTCACCTGGTTTAATTTTGCAAAAAAAATCTTCTTTAGGGAACTTTTGGTGTTACGATTATTAATCGAAAAAATGATAGACAGATGAATTGATTTGTAAAATAATCGTTAGTTGGAGTCCTAGTTCTAACCCTAAAGAAAGCCCTCTAAATATGGCAGTGGCTTAGCTTTTAAAACACATGGTGCAGTCTGGTTGTGTGAGAGACAGAAGGTCGGCTGATAAGAGAAATGGCGGCCACTGTTTGCCATTTGCCACAGGGCAGCCTGGGAACAGGACAAGGGACAGGAACCATTTCTGAGGCTGTAGTGATCCTCCACTGGATCACAATAGAATATGTAAACCATTAGATATTGATTGAAAGGCTATCTCTACATATTGCCACATAATTTTAGCACCGATGGAAGCCGAAGGAAAATAAAACTTTCTAGAAGCTGTCATAGGGTAGGTATTTATATTTACTTTGTCAGTGCTTATCTACAAGCCATGATTACAGATACAGACTGTACAGAAAATAAAGAAACAACACAGCATATTGGTATATTTTAGGCAAATATTCCTAAAAAGGTATTGCTTTTGTTGCTTCAATGTAAGAATATGAGTAAATAAACAACAGGAATGGATGTTTATGGGTAGATCTTTTTATATTTATATATAAAATGTCCTTTTAATATTAATGCAAAATAAATACCAGCAGCAAAAGCAGAGTTAAGGATTCTTTTGTGTGAAGTGACAGAGCTATTTATTCTCTCACAGATGAGACAGACTTAGCTCTCCATCTTCACCTCGCCTCACATGATCACAGGTCTCAGAGAAAACAACAGGAGGAACTGAGAGAAACACTTTGGCTTTGGTGGAAAGGAGGAGAGAGGGGGATGAGAGGAGCCCACTCTTTCCTTTACCTCCCCACTTATCACTTTGCAGGCTCACAAACACAAATTTAGACACCTCAATGAGGAGGTATTGATTTTATATCAGCACCATGGCTGTGACCTTCACTGCTTTCACCGTTTGACCTCCAAGCTTTAAAGCACTGCTCTAAAGGTTTCTAAAAATATAGAAACCATCAAATTTCACATATAATGTTTTTAACTATTAATTAACATCATAGTCTAAGCAGGTCATTGAGGCTGTTTTCAACCATAATGGGGTTGAATAAAACTGAAATGAATCCATTTCTACAATATGGCTGCAGAGCTAAGCACATGAAGTCTGTTGTAAGCACTTGTGGTTTCCATGTGTGACTCATGGTTGGACTATGCTGCACTCCCTCGTGCTTTCTGAATGTCCCTCCTCCTTCCCTCAGTTTCCCAACCTCACTCTCCCTCATCTTCCTGTCTCTCTCCTTCCCTGAAGCCTAAATTCCTCCCCTTGTACACTCCCTCGCTGGTCCCTCCTATTTCCCAATGTTCTTGTTGTGACCTTTCCTTTTTTATATCACTTTATCCGCCTAACTCATCACCCCATGGAGCCTGGCCACTTTCTTCCTATCTCTGTTGTATTTCTATAATAATGATAATAGAGTCAGCCTCATTTGTTGGAACTCATCTTTGGTTGGTACCATTAGCTTGGATCCAGCAAGTTTTAACAAGTTATTTGACAAATTTTCAATATATAATTAAGTCCCTAAATGCTGAGTCAAAGGACATTTTCCTTCTACTCTGATTAATAACTTGATCATTAAATAAATCAATACATCAAGTGTTTAGTCAAACCGTAACACAGACATTCCTGAATGTATGCATGTGTTCCATGAGGGGTGTGTTAAACTCTGGAACTCACTGATGCTAATTTAGGCATGAAAATGCTGCTGGAAATAGACAGCTGCCTTTGTAGTTCAGGAACACAAACACCACATGTCAAATGTGGGCTTTCGGGTTGGAAAGATACTCGCAAACTGGACATACATGCTGTGCACAGACCAGATGTATAAGTAAACAAACTGCATGCTAAGGCAGTGACAACAATCCTAAAACTGCCTTATAATGCGTTCCTCCACTTAGACCACTGCTAATCAGTTCAGTTTTTTGTAATTAGGTTATTTTGGTGACGTCTCTTATTAATTTGCTTGTTGTATAATATTTTCTGTTGTTTTCTTCCAGTTCTAGTACAGACCAGCTGACTTCTGTGAAATATGAAAGAGAGACTTTTTGTAGACTATAATTATGGCAGATAGACTCTAGACTTAGACTTAGACAAACTTTATTGTCATTTTGTATCAAATGAAATTTCATTTTGTGCAGCTTTCATCACATTTCGATTTCTTAAAGTGCAGCCGTGATCAAATGTAGACTTTGTGGAGAAAGAACAAAACAAAAAACACAATGATAGGGTCAGTTTGATGCAGAGTCTGTGACATGATTTAGAGTTTCTTCAACATAACTTAAAATGATACTGCAACCCAGAATTGCAGCACTCTTTTCCTTGTTCTTGTAGCTTGCACTCTTACTTGACAAGTGTTGTTGTTGTTTGTTTTTTTTTTTTTTTTTACTTTTTTCACTTTACTTTAAGTTTCCTTTGGAGTCTGGGTTGAGCTGGATGCCTGTCACTTCTGAGTATCCACAAAATCGATTTTGAATTAAGCGCTTTGATTGTTTGCTAGCTTGGACACATTGAACATGGCCTCAGAAACAGCGCAGGAACCGCCGACCCAAAGTACATTCAGGGAAACAGGCTACAGGCCTATTGATGCATCGTCGCTAAACTACAAACGTGTCAGTCTGCTCATCAAACGATATTTAGGTAATAAAGGTCAAATAACAACGCTATTTTAAATATATTTTTCAGTGAAAAAAAAGTATATAATTTTACGTCGTCATTAATCTCAATGTTTGCAATATACCACAGTCTCTTATGGCTTCAAACGAAGAAGAAGAAGAAAACCATATCTTTGGTTTTAAGTTTCTAATGGTCTAAATAAAGATCGGCAATAGAAGTAAAGCAGACGATTCTACCCCCAATGCTGACAGAACAGCTGTAGCAGCAGCAGCTGCTCTGGCCAGGCTGTTTTATTGCTATCCACTGGTGTGGGCATGATTCAAATGATCAGCTCTTTAGCTTACAGCTAGAGCCAGAAACACGTGCTTCTGCTTGTGTCCTTTATGCTGCTCTGTTGACATAGTTTTTACACCTGAGGCCCTTCCTTACACAACTGGGATTCAAACCTGACTCCTCACAT